ATAGAGCCCGTCCGAACCGCGCCCGTGGGCTCGGGGTACCGGCACCGCCGTCCAGGAGAGACCCCGGCTCGCTCCCTCCTCTCCTCCCTCACGGAACACCAGTCACGGCTCCTGGAGAGCTCCGCGGCAGAGCCAGCGCCAAACGTTTTAATAGCAAAGCTTCTAATGTGTTATTTGCTTATTGTTAGGAGTTAATGTTCTACATAATCTGAACATTACATTTAATCTCTCCGCTAAATAAGGCAATAAAAGCGTTGTACTACTGTGCTGGCCGGCACCTACAGTGTATGAGAATGGTGCGAGAGGGTCAAGCACTTTGGCCAGGGAAAGTGGGGGGACATTTTAAAGAGAAACCAGGATTTTGGGGCAAAGCCTGAAGGCGTATTCCTTCCCTGGACCATCACACTAAAGAAACAGATCAGCTTCACATGAACAGCTCAGCAAATCCCGCAGAAGTGAGGTTGTGCACACACCACTTCCCTTCCCCAGCCCAAGCCCAGCTCCCGACACGTGTGAGTACCAGAGCAGCATCCCAGCCGTGCCCACAGCGCACGCCCTGCTCCAGGCAGGAGCCTCGGGAGTTTCTCCACTCAGCACACAGGAATGGATCCTTAGCAGCTCACTTTTACAAATGAATACCTTTAATACGTCTTGCAGGGCGATAATCACAGTCTAACTTCTATGGAGCCTGTCATTTGTTCATGCCATTTAAACACTCCTTCCCCACCTCGGGTATTCACGGCTCACATTATGTCTTTCTCAAGCTGCAAAATCTCCCTGGGCACTCTGTGTGGCTCTTATTATGGAAGTGACTTCCCTGTTCGTAAGTGCACCAAGAATTTCAAACATCTAGATAACCAAAGGTGTTTCACATTTATCAAGTGCCACTTTACTTACAAACGAGCTATGTAACATGCATCTGTGTGGACTGAATATTTCTCCCGGAGCTATTTGCATGACTGAAATAGCAGGAGGTATAACACACGGGCCATCACATCGTACACTCTGTCACACTGCACAAAGCCAACAGTGGGAGATAACAAAGGCCTTTTCAAAAGGCTTCTGTCCCTGAGAAATACCTGTAGAGAATTTTATAGTACAGAGAAACATGGCTGTGAGAAGCAAATTTGAGGATTTGCATTATCTAGAGCATTGTTAAGATATTTCCCTCAGTACTCAGACCTTAGCCAGCCTCCTACTCACGGTATCAGCGTGGTATCAGCCCCACACTCACGGTATCAGTGCAGTATCAGCCCCACACTGTTTGTATCAGCGTGGTATCAGCCCCACACTCACCCTATCAACTCCCCAAGCTCTTGTTCCTCTGACTGGACCAGGCCCTGGCTGCCTGCTATGGACACTGGCCAATATTTGCTGTGAAGGGAAAATCCAACGTACACGACTGGCCAAACACCTGATACTGCCCTAAACTCTGCTGCTGAGAAGGTTCTGGCCCAGGAATGAGAGATTGGGGTTCCTTCACCACTGCCAGCCCACCCACAAATATGTCCTCATTTTATCAAGCCCTTCTTCCATCCAGGGATAGCTCTGAGCTCTGGGCAGGGCATTGATAAGGAAAAACCCAAATGCCTTCCACAACCAATGGTGACATTTTCCCCTCAATTGTGTATTCCACATCTCCACAACTGTTCCATGATTCATGCATGATTTGGAAATTAGAATTTAGGGTTATAGCGAGACATTACTTCTGTTTGCCATTGTTTTTACATTTGTTGCCACCAGAAGGAGATCACACGGAGCCATTTTCCATTTTCTGTGCCAGCTTCCTTGGGAGAATGAGATGTCAGAGATTTTAATGCTGATAAATTATGCTGCTATAGTGATACTTTGCACCTCCATAGTGCACACCAGAGATCAGAAAGCCTAATGTGTGAATGAATACCTTCTGTAATTTTTAGGTGGGGTAAGAAAAAAAGACAGAAGTTTGTCTGTGAAAATACAAGAGAGAGATTCTGACCTGGGGTGTGACCGCCGAGCTTTCCTAGTGAGATCATAAGGACGTGATCCATTTCTTCTTCATTTAAGACTTTAAACAACATTTGATTCTGATCTCCAGACAAACAAGGCTAATCCCACCCTCTGAGCATTGCCTGCTCCTCTAGCTGAGCTGCATTCTTGGCAGTTCCAGCAATTAAAGTGCTGCCCTTTGCATGCATGTTCTTTATACACTTTTAAGTTTATATTGAGAGCTGTCTAGGGCAGAATTGTGTCTTCCTGTGTGTGGGCAGCATTCACCACCAGAAAAAATATCATAGCAAAGATTAAACTAGTAACTGAGAAAGGTTTCATTCAGAAGTTAATAGTCTCTATGAAATGACAAAAAATAGAAATCTGCAGAGCCCAAGAATCCCTTCAGCTAGAATAAATCTTGAAATATCTATTACAATGGAAGCAGAGGTACCAGCTATATAAATTCATCCCTGCACAGCCTAAGGTCTGAGCAAGAGGAGATCTTTTAGGCTCTTTAGAGACAATCATTGTGGGCAAAAGTATGGCCCCATGCAATCCCTGCAAGCCCACAGAGCAATGTGGCACAGAACTCATCAGGCCTGGCAAGAAAAAGGTGTGAACCACGGAATCACAGAGTGGTTTGGCTTGGGAGGACCTTCAAGAGCACCCAGTGCCACCCCTGCCATGGCTCCCACTGCCCCGGGGTGCTCCCAGCCCTGCCCTGGGGGTGTCCCTGGGACGCTGCCATGGATCCTGGGGCAGCTCAGCTCCTCTGGAGCACACAGAGCTCCCAGCGAGCACTGATTTCACTTGGCAAGGGCAAGGGCGTTGCTTTTCTTGCTTTGTTTCTGCTGTTTTGCCTCTGACATCTCCCAGCCCGGAGTACAATCGCTCTAATCACAAGAGCTGACTGAAGTCATAATAAGACACAAAGAACGAAGGCAGAAGAAAACAAAACAAATCCTTTTGAGGAATGGCTTAATCACAATCACAGCAACTTCAGCTAAAACAGGATGGCACAATTCAAAACAGCACAATTAAATCTGCTCTGATTTGGACTCTTTTCTTACATATTTGACAAACCCAAAATCCAATGCCATCCTCTCACTGCAGACTGAGGAAGGTGGGACTCTCATTTAAATTTTTCTTCCTTATCAAATTTGGCATTTTCAATTACTCTAGAACCTGGAAATAATCCTATATTCTATTATAATGTTTGAATATTTTTGGTATTATAATACTTTTAAAGCATATGTGCAAACCCATCAGCACCATATGCCTTTGAGATGCAGGAACTGTAGAATTCCACACGCCCTGGGGCAACACGAAAAAAAACCTAGAAAGGAGAGAGAAAAAGGGAGGGGGACAAAACTGAGCAGAGTGTTAATGACAGCAAAATCTGGAGCTCCTGTTTTATTAAACATAAAGTAATGATGCAAGTCTTGTGTCTGGAGCTGACTCCCACACCAATAATGTTCGCTCGCAGAGAACCCACAGGATAAAGTTATAAAGGTAAAAATTCAGCACCATGGAAACACAATAGAGATGAAATTTTAAAAATGATATATCAATAAATCAGGCTGGATGCCTCACGAGCAGCTTTCTTTGGAAGAGCCCTGGCAGCTTCCCATGTTCTCTAAGCCAGGAAAACAGGGGGAGGCTGGGGCAGAGTGAGGGTCTGGCCTGGGGCTCTGGGAGGGCACTGGGAGGGCTCTGGGAGGGCACTGGGAGGGCACTGGGAGGGCACTGGGATGGTCAGGCAGGAGCACAGACACAGACCTGGCTTCTGCTCTCACCCCAAACCCACACAGAACAGCCCCCACAAAGGCACATCACAGGAACTGCTGAACAGATGGGGTTATTTTTCTTGTTCTTCCACATCTTTTGTTTTAGTTCAAGCAAATTTCAACTCTGGGGCACATGAGAGGACATCAGGAATTTTTTCACTACTCATCATTAGGAAACTGCTATAAATAAGTGTTTGCTGAGAGTACAAGTGTGCAAGGCAGCCTTTCATCCCAGGTCTTCATGTGTTCTGCTATGTCAGGGATAAGGTATAAAACTGGGAGTAAATCTTTCCCACCAGATCCATCCTCATTCTGGGCTTTACAATTTCTATTTTTTATATTAAACTTAATTTAATTCTGGAATTAGTTTGGGGTTTTTTCTGTTCCTCCACAGCACATGGAAATACCCTCTTATTGAGGCTCCACTGAATGGATAATTAATATTTGTATTTGGGAAACAAGTGAGCTGTGCCAACACTAAGCATCCTTTTATAGCCATAAATGTTCCAAACAAGTGAGTTTACCCATTTCTACAATTACCAATGTTAGTCCCAGCTTTCAAAATAAAAGAGAAACGTTTTTTGGGGAACATTTGATGCCATTTTTTATGAGGTAAAGACATCTAAGTGCTCATTTTTACCCTTCTCTCCGTAGAACAGGACTGCATTGAGGAATGCAGAGCCCAAAACAACCCCGAGGCTGAGTTTAGGCACCATTTGTGCCCAAGAATAGAAATAATCCCCTGAGTGGTCCCTGGACTGAAGCAGGGCAGGAAGGGAATTTCTGCACAGCACTGACCTTTATGGATCAAATATTTTTCATTTGTTCAGTGTTAGAGGCACAGGGCTGGAAGTGTCTGCAGCCCCTCAAACACTT